AATGACAAATAATTAAAATATAATTACAGTTAACACGCGATTTAATTATTACGTGTCATTATAATCGAAATTGGTGATGATTATTGTTAGATCGAATACATTATGTAGTAATTCAACTTAATCTAAATATACATACATATATAACTCAAAGGTGACTTACGTAGTGATCTATCAACGCACAGCCCAAACCACTGCACGGATTTGGCTGAAATTTGGCATGCATGTAGATGTTATGACGTCGGCAACCCCTAAGAAAGGATTTTGATAAATTCCACCCCTAAGGGGATAAATTAATAAATTAACGCGAGTGAATATATATATATATACTAGCAGGGCAGGTTTTGCCATATAAATTAAAATCGCTTTTCGGACTACTCTAATGCTATTGGCCGCAGCTGGCCTTTACAGCTTCACCGGACGATGGGCGAGTGCAGATGGCACTCCAAACCCGCGGAAGGACTTATGGAGCGGCGATGACGGATACGACTTTAGTCTGAGGGCACCGCTAGGGGTTCGAACCTCGGCTCAGACCGTCGTAACATCAGTCTCCGTTTGAATTGGACGGGGGATTGATCGGAGGGGACTATTAAAATCGCTATTAAAAAATAGGGGTTGATGCTAAAAGGGTGAAAATTTAGGGCTGTATGTATTTTTTAATGACACATAATAAAAAAATATAATTAAAAAATTTACTCAATAAACAAAAAAATAATGTTAGGGGTGGACAACCCTTATTACTTAGCGGTATAAAAAATAGATAGTAGCCGATTCTCAGACCTACTGAATATGCATATAAAATTTCATAAAAATCGATCAAGCTTTTTGGGAGGAGTATGGTAACACACGTGGACACGAGAATTTTGTATATAAGATATATATGTATATATGTACTCACATATGTACCGTATCTATACAAATTAATTATATTCAAGTGTCTGTTTGAATATTCAAATTACCAGAGCATTTCTCTAAATGGATATAAAAAGTAATAGGATTATAAAAAAATGTTTATCTCTCGATTTGTTCTTGCTAATCTCTGAAACAGCTGGGCTGATTTGGGCACTGATTCACTGACAGTTATTCAATATATAAGGAGTAACATAGGCTACATTCGAAATTTTATTTATTTAATAAAAAATTAAGTGAAATTCCACGCGGACTAAGTCGTAAAAAAGTCACATCAAAATCGGTCTAACCATTTCAGAGATTAGCCGGAATAAATAGACAGACAGCCAAACAAAAATTAAAAAAAAAAATTGGTGTATGTGCCGTGTTTACATATATTCATATGCACGTAGTAAAAACGGTTATTTCAATATTACAAACAGACACTCCAATTTTATTTATACGTATAGATTTCAATAAAAGGTAAACATTTACTTGCCATTTACGAGTGCCAAAGATTATTGAATCCCACGCGAATCAGTGGGCGATATAAGGTCAATCTTTCAAAGATTTGACATTTTTGAAGCTTTTGACATTTGGACGGCGATAAATCCATAAAAAAAAACTAGTTGTAAGGATGTATGTAATAATAATAATAATAATAATAATCTCAGGCCAATTCACACAGCGCCATCTAGAACCAAGTTAAGCTAGCTAAAACTTGTGTTATGGATACTAGATAATTTATACAAATACATAGATATTTTTTTTTCGTAAATACAAACATATTATACATAGAAAACACCCAGACCGACACAAACAATCATACTCATGAATACAAATGTTTGTGCCGTGCGAGGAATCGAAACCGCGACCATCGGCTAGTAAAGCGGTATGCTATACCACTATCCCACCGAGGCCGTCGTAAGTGTATAAGCATTGATTGTAATAATAAATCATTCAGTATACACTCAAATGTACGCAGACGTAGAGGCATTGAAAGCGTATATTGGGTAACAAAGAATTTGGTATGAAATTAATGTTCCATATTGTATTTTAATTAGTTAATTAATTAAAATACATTTAATTAATTAAAATGCATTAATTAATTAAAATACCTTAATTAATTAAAATACATTAATTAATTGAAATACATTTAATTAATTAAAATACATTATTAATTCAAATACATTTAATTAATTAAAATACATTAATTAATTCAAATACATTAAGTTAGTTAATTTTAATTAAAATAGTTCATTTAATATAGAGTCTTAAGCTTCTACTATAGGATTGTATTTTCTGTTTAACAGTCTTTAAGTTGATGTTCATATACATAAGCTTGTTACATATGTATTGTGGAATATTGAACATGTTTCTTATGGTTTTGCTCTGGAATCTCTCTAGAATTTCATTATTGCTATTGTTGGCTGAGCCTATAGTTGAATGCCATGTGTCCAGATAGGTTTGGTTTTGTATACAGCCATGTTACTGTTGTTGGTAAGTTGAGATTTTCGTGCTATCAGCCAGTAGAAGCTACATATTTTGATGTCTAGTTATTTGCGTTTAGTTCATGTGTTTTTGCCAGGTGAGTCTGCGATCCAGACGCATTCCCAGGTACATGGCATCAATCGCTTGAGGGACCTGATCTTCGTACAGGAGTACAGGAGGACGTGTTTTTTTTCTAGTGTATACTTGTATAGATTTGCTTTTGTTTGCTCTTATGCGCCAGTTTTCAAATCACTGCTCGACTAGCATGAGATGTCTTTGGAGGTTTGTCAATACCGTCTCTGGGTTCTAAGGACAGACAGAAAGGCCGTATCATCAACGTATGTAGCGTAGTAAATACAAAATGTGATCAAAATTGAATGAATGAATGGAGGTGAAAAAAAGAATATATCATTTTTGTTTATAAACATTTAACTCAACTCTGTTCGATCAACTTCCCCGATAAGTAACTCGCATCACCCAGATTACGTTTAGATAAGATTACCTTTTCGGTAATATATGTAAATCAGTCGAGTCTGTAACAATACAGACCGACTGCGTATAATATATACGATCGTTGGAATGTTTGAATTATATTATGGGAACAAAACATGCGACCAAAAGATTGTGCGTTCAGAATTATTCAAAATCAAAATCAAAAGAATATTTATTCATGTATTCTTATACAAGACACGAGATGTTATTCTTTTAAATGATAATTTTTAACCACTTCCGGAAGTAATTTCTATGATTTGTAATTTTATTTTTCCTAGAAGCACTAATAAGTTAGTATAGGTATGGATTTTTTCGGACTATTGTAATGATTTTAGCTGCATCTGGCCATTACAGATCGATCGAAAAAAATCTATACATATAAATAAAATTTTAGTGTCTGTTTGTAATATTGAAATAACCGTTCTTACTACATGCATATGAATATAAACACGGTACATACACAAAAATAACATTTTTTACAATATTTGTCTGTCTGTCTGTCTGTTCCTGCTAATCTCTGAAATGGCTGGACCGATTTTGACGGGACTTTTTTAGGCAGTTAGCTGATGTAATAAGGAGTGAATTAGGGTAATTTTATTTAAGAAAAATAAAGTTATATTCCACGCGGACGAAATCGCGTTGCCCTATATACTCGAGTCGAAAACAAACTATAGCGCGTTTTACGAGTAGTTTTTCAATAACGCCATCTGGTAGAAAATTTCTTTACGTTTCTAACAATTATATTATACAGATATACATATTATATATGTGCTGTGTTAAATTGTGCCGAACTCATTGGAAGCCCTTAAAGAAGCGTTTGAATTAAAGTGCCAAGTCATTTCACTTCGGCTTGCAGAGATTAATTTTAATCAGGTACAGCCATCAAAAAATAATATCCTGACTTTATTTATCGGGTCGGGAGCCTTTCATTTTAGGTAGCTCAATTAACTTTTTTTATAACTAAAAGTTATTATTCTGCCTGACACCGTTTTTCTCCTGAAATTCATGTTAAAGACAAAACAATTGATTTATATTTTGACGACTTGACTTGTCTTCCAAAGGTAGTAGGTTCGATCCTCGTAGAATATAATTGTCTTAACAACTATGATTCTTTGTGTTTTGGATATTTACTGTATATATAAAGTGTAAACACATATGTTAAGCATTTTTATATTTGTAATAACTGGCAATTATAATTATTGTCTCTGATTGTTTCTATATTGTTAACTCTTTGGTTTATAAAGTGTAAAACAGCAATGTGGTGTAAGAAAGAAATAATTAAAATTAAATATTAAAAGTAGTAGTTTTATTGTGAAAACATAATTATTGATAGACTATTTATTTTAAAAAAGTGTGTTCTTGCGTTATCTAGTACCATTGCTATAAGTAATTTGGGTCTAGATTGCACTATATGATGTTCAGGATTCTCGGGCAAAATTAATGAGGATAATGCCTGGCCTTTATTTCTGTCAATAATATTACTCTATTAGTTTAAATTATACCCAATAGAATAGAAAGGAAAATTTTTATTCAAACAAACTTACATTTAAGCATTTTTTAATAGTTTTTCCTTATGAATCTACAGCTCATTTGGAAATCTGTCTCATCACAAGAAAAACGAGCAAGAAACTTGTGTGTTGCTATTTTAAAAAAATAATTGTAGCTTTACATCTTCAAATTGAATTTCCAAACTACCAACTAGGACTAGAGCCAAACTTATAACTACACAATAAATTGGTTGAGTAACTAAATAAGAGTAAATCAGTCGTAGTGATTAAAGCAGACCAGCCTCTGCAAACAGCACACGTTCACGAGTATGAATGATGAGCGAGCCTTTCTTTGCGCTCGACGATATTTTAGTGAGCCCAATAATCCGGCCAACCACGCTACATGCCTGGATATTTCAGTGAGTATAATTACTCTACACACTCAATCAGGCCATAGCTACTTAAAATTACCATGTGGCAATTATAGTATTCGCACTTTACATAGGAATGTATACGGCTATATAAAAACCGATGAAATATCCATATAAAAATATATTCCACATAATGATTACAATAAACAATACCAAACATACACATTACCTCATCCACTTAAATATACAATACTTTAATGTAAAATGAGCTTACCTAATATTCCAAGTCTGTAGTTAATAGTAACGACGACCAGTCCAGCATGAGAAGAGAGAACTGCCCCGTCGTATGGGTTCCCTGAACTCCATTCGTAGCTCTCACCGTGCACGAACACGAGGACTGGATACCGTGCCACAGCATCTCGTACTCCTGCTGCAGAATTACAGGATATCAGTATAAATAGTATCTTGGATATTATTATACTATATATAGGTATAACTCAAAGGTGACTGACGTAGTGATTTATCAAAGCACAGTCCAAACCACTGGACGGATTGGGCTGAAATTTAGCATGCACGTAGATATTATGACGTAGGCATCCGGTAAGAAAGGTTTTTGATTAATTCTATCCCCAAGGGAATAAAAAATTGGATGAAAGTTTATATGAAACTTTGTCAATTTTAAACCGATCGGGCTGAGATTTTGCATGCATAAAGCTATGACTATGCTATGACGTAGGCATCCCCTAAGAAAGGATTTTGATAAATTCCACCCCGAAGTAGATAAATTAACGCGATAAATTAAATGAAGCCGCAGGCAAAAGCTAGTGTATATATATATAAAAAGTAGATAGATGTGTGGTGTGACTAGGATGGACAAGACAAAGTATGACTACATTAGAGGAAGTATGAAAGTGGCGCCGATGTCGGAGAGGTTGAAGGGTAATCGTCTATCATGGTACAGGCATGTAATGCGTAGGAATGATTATATCTTAATGAAAGTGTTACATATAAATGTGGATGGTTATAACGGCAGAGGAAGACCGAAAAAGAGATGGATGGATTGTGTGAAAGATGATATGGTAAGAAAGGAAGTAAATAACGAGATGACTGCGAACAAGGATGAATGGAAGAGAAAAACATATTACGCCGACCCCAAATAAATGGGATAAGGAAGAAGCAGATAATGAGTATAAAGAGTATCTTGGCTTTACTACCCAATTACACCCAAGAGGTCGTCTTCAAATCTGGCTGACATCAAAAAACTTTATGTGACAATTTTTTTCTGACTCTAACTTACTGACTGAGCCGAGGTTCGATCCCCCTCAAGACACAGCTTAAGACTAAAGTCGTATCCGTAAAGCAGGAGTTGGCCTTCAGCCGCTCCATAAGTTCTTCCGCGGGTTTGGATTGTCATCTGCACTCACCCCCTATCGTTCAGTGAAACTGTAAAGGGCAGCTGCGGCCAACAGCATTACAATTTATTCCCTTTTTTACCATATCATCTTTCATACAGTCGATCTATCTCTTTTTCAGCCTTACTCTGCCTTTATAACCATCCAGATTCATATGTAACATCTTCCTTATCATGTTTAATATTAGTATAATAATATAGGATTTGATGGCCTCGGTGGTCTAGCGGGTTAGGCGGTAGTACATCTTAATGCCGATGGTCGCGGGTTCGATTCCTCGTACGGCACAAACATTTTTATTCAAAAATATGCTCGTTGTATCCGTCTATGTATGATATGATGTATTTACGAAAAATGTCTATGTATTTGTATCAATTATCTAGTACCCATAACACAAGCTTTAACTAGCTGAACTTGTTTTTAGATGGCGCTGTGTACACTAAAACGAATATTCTTCTCAATTTATCGAAACAATATATAAAAATTAATACAAAAGCGAAACTAATAACAATTATCTCACTAAATAGCACTAAACCAATAAACGTAGCAGAAAACAATGGCAATATGTAATATATTACAAGAACTCGACGCAACTTGTTACATTACGATAGCAATGTCTCAGTGTTGCCAGTTGCCGAAGTAATAATGTTACAAGTACTCGCGCCTTATGGATCCTTTTGTAGAAGTCGATATATTATTTTTATGAGTGCCCAGATACCAATAATGGTGTAGTGAATAGGACTATGTTATACACTTTTGGAGCGGCGCCAGGGATGGTAAATTATCACTATACTGGTTATTTTTGGATATTGATAGAAAATAATATGTGATAGATAAAAAAAAAACATTTTAGTACATTTAAAAGCAATATATATAAATAAGCAAATAACCCTGGACAGTTAACAGCGCCATCTAGTCCCATGGTAAGCAGACCTTGTGTTATGGATACTAGACAACTGATATAAACTTTATTTATTATTTATATTACATACTTTTTTTTTAAATACATATATATGTAATATACATAGAAAACACCCAGACCGATACAAACAATCATACTCATGAATGTTTGTAGCGTGGATTCGAACCCCCGACCATCGGAAGTAAAGCGATCTGCTAAAACGCTAGACCACTGAGGACTATTTATATGTATATAAAGGAAATAAAGAATTTATTTAAACCAAAAAGTTCTTTAATTCTTCAACTATTATTATTATTAAATAAATATTATTTTTCCACGAAGGATTGTATAGTGTAAGTTATATAAATATATTATTATTTTATATAAATATAAAATAATAATATATATATAACTTACAGTAAATATCATAATTTTTCGGTCTCTTAAGGGTCGGCAACGCGCACGTGACACCCCTGGTGTTTCAGGCGTCCATAGGCTACGGTAACCATTTACCATCAGATGGGCCGTATGCCTGTTTGTCACCATAGTAGTATAAGAAAATATATATATACATAACCATTACCATAAAATTACACGTGTTAAGACCCGATTAACTATATTAATAATGTGTATTTAATACGTAAGTTTAAAAAGAAAGAAGAAGAAAGAAAGAAAAAATATTTCTGTAATTTTCAACAGTGTAACAATATAAACAAAACAAAAAAAATAATTACTTATTATTATTATTTATTATGATATATTATTATTATTATATTATTATGATTTGAACAAATATATTCAAGCTATTTTTAACAAACAATATAATTAGATATAGAAACTCATGTTACGTAAGGCGGCAAAAAATAACTGCCCTATAGAGTGAGAATTTAGAATGTTCCCAATATTCTTGCGTTATCTCAGCCATGATGGATCGGAACGAAGCGGATAAATCAAGTTTTTGCTCCTTCTCCGTCTGTTGTGGTCCAAAAGAATAAGATAAGCGGATATTGCGGATACTTTCTACACGTGCCACCGTCCGCGTCCTTGCAACTTCCTAGAATCCTTATCGAACGGCACGTGTAACATTATAGACCCAGCTGCGCGACCTCCGTCGTTACCTGCAGCTGCGCCTAAAAGTGGCACGTGTAGCAAGGATTCTGCTACACTTGAAATAAGAGTGTCTTGTATTCGCTTGCATAAAAATACAAAATCGTGTGGATATTATGCACATTGGTTGTTGAATAAAAATTTTAATCCATTAGATTATAAATTATTACTGTTCTAATTATATTTAGGAACAGTAATAGAAATAGAAATAATCTTTATTCAAATAAACCCAATACAAGCACTTTTAAATAGACGTATTTTTCATTCTACCACTCATTCGGAAAGCAGACTCGTCAAGAAGAATGAGCAAGAAATTTGTACAATAGATGTTATTTGAAATACATAATTACACAATAACAAGTAAGAGGCGTGCGATCAACATCGAAAGTGCTACGTACTTATTCTTAGTACAATCAGATAATGTTGTCAGCGCAGTAATAACATATGTACAAGACGTGCTGTAACCAAAAATAAATTATATTTACTATTTAATGCATCTACTGAATAGTGTGTGATAGCACTAGAGTGACTATAATTGAGTGATATCTTGAATATAGTGGTAAAAAACCAATCTGAGAATCCATCGACTTGAAGAAACTTTAAGATTCAAGAAAGAAATGATATTCATAATTTTTCCACAATATAAAATTCAGTCGCCATCGCCGTCTGTTAGTTTACATTTATATGTATATATGCATAAAAAATACATATAGGCTATAAATTTCAAGCGAATGAAACCGCAGACATGTCTATTATAATATAATATAATATATACCATTTACATATTTTCATGTTTTCATATATCACTTATTTTAATTTTGATATATTATATGTATTTGCGATATGATATATGTATCATAATAAAAATCATGGAGTAAGTACGGTGTATATTTGTATATGAATGTGTGTAGTTAGAATGAATAAAACAAATTAAATATTTGAAGTATACACTACAGATAGCTGGGTAAAAATTTTTTTTGTTTAAAGTATACGTTTATCTCTTACACCCCAACCCAAAGGTTTTTCATTAACACTGGCCCGAAAATTTTCCATTCCTTTGTAAATCGACCCGGTAATGATTATAAGAAAGAAGCAGAATCACTTTTGGTGGACGCCGTTTTAATTACTGAATTTTAAACTTTGATTTAATTGAAACGAAGAGGCAACAATTGAGAAGTTGCAAAGGCATCCAAAGTGTTTCGATTTGGTACGTTTTTTTTATATTTAATATCATTGTATTAGGCGTGTACATTAAAGCAATACATATAATTTCCTTGCTAAGTTTTACATTTTATTTGTCTCTTAATTTCTTTTTTGCTTAGGTTGATCCAAATATTCTATGAAAATTTCATCTTTATTCCTACAGCTGTTTTTGCCTAAAAACAAAGCACATAAATAGAGAGGGAAGGGGATTGTTAATGTGGACTGTTAACCCCTTTGCTAACAATGACCCAGGTCAGGTTGACCTCCATGCGTTTCCCCTGGAAACCATTGTGATAAATTCCTGATGAACACTATGGGCTAACTCACCTGACCTCATTTTCATCTTATCATCCTCCTCTAGTACTCCGACGGAGAGAACCATTAGAGCAGATGGTGCACCATCACAATATTATTAAAAAAAAAGGAAAAACAGAGAGATTTCGCCTAGTCACGTTTTTACGATTTTGTACTTTTGTATACCTACAGTATGTAATGTAATATATATAATACAAAGATAACTTAAAAGATCTAAGTTCATAACTTGTGCCACACGAAAACGTACTTTCATAAACATTGGCCCAAGCGAGGTACCAACCTATCTCTTTTCGCAAATTTGCACCGTAATGAGGACAACGAAAGAGTCAGACGTATAACTAACCCTTTCTTTACCCTTGCATTCAGTTTGGGTAATCAAGTGACTTCAAAAAGAAAGGTAGCTACTTCGATTGTGGCTTTTGTGTATTTAAGCGATATCGTAGTGTCCAATTCATACAATCGATTGAGTTTAGTCTGATGTAACTGTTTTTATAT